GAGAGAGAGAGAGAGAGAGAGAGAGAGAGAGAGAGAGAGAGAGAGAGAGAGAGAGTTTGTATAAACACTTTTTAAGCGCAAAGAGGACGGACAACTTTAATTTAGAAACAAGCTTGTTTGAATCACCAAAGAAAAAAACTTTATGATGAAAAACAAGGTTCTAGTACTTTATATAGACCCGGCTCTCGGACTAATAATGTAATACGGTACTGTTTGTTTGTTGCGGTTCTTTTCGGAAGACTGATTATTTTTTTTCCTCTCGTCGTCGTTAAGAGTCATTTCCCTTTATATAAATTTACAAACATGGCGACTACCTTTGCGAATCCCACTCAACTGCTCCCTTTGGGTAATTCAGTTAGTCAAATTAGCTTAAAATTTGGACTTTTAACTCTAATCCTGCGTCTGTGTCCAGATGCGTATCTTATCAGCAACCGATTACGTCCGACGTGCCGGGCAGGCCGCCGGGGTCACTCAGTGTGTACTGTTGGTGTACAGCGCGCGCGCCGGGAAACGTGTGTTTTCGCCGTGAATACCGCGGGAGTGTGTTAACCGATAATGAAAATAACGCTGTATCTTTCATAGCTTTCTATTTATAAAGTGTTACAAACACATGAAATTGTACTTTACTGGACCACCGGTCGGAACTACTTTCGCTGTGGCGCCCCTGGTGCCTAGGGGCCCGCTGTTCTTCGTTTCCGAGCTCCCCTACTCACTTTTCTTCGTCCTCACTCTTCAACTGCCAGCAATCGACTGCCGTCTCTTACCGGGTTTTTCAGTCATCACGACCGTGCCACTGTGCCCTTTGACCCATGACCCTGACACCTTGAGGCTAATTGGTCAATCTAATCACGTGGTCCACTATTCTTATTGGAAGTGGCTATTCTCATCCGGGGTGAGAATAGAAAAACGATCTAGATCTAGATTTACCTCTCACCCCGGGTGAGACTTGCCAGCGTAGGCTATTCTCACCCGGTGCGAAACAAGACCTGCTTTTCCTCATTTTGGAATACTGTCTATCGGTGTGGATGATCAAATTGATAAAAGCCAAGAAAAAATTACATTATACTATAGCACAAAAGTAAGCTAATTTGATCGTCTTCAAAGATGCTATGGCTATTTCACTGTTCGAATCGAGCCGAACTACGCGGGTCGCCATTTTGTTTTGCCCGGAAGTTCTCGCAAGATCTACTCCTCCCCTCTCTCTCTCTCTCTGTCTCTTTCTGAATACTGTCTATCGGTGTGGACGATCAAATTGACCAAAACAAAGTTAAAAACTGATGTTAAAACACAAAAGTAAATTAATTTGGTTGTCTACAAAGATGCTACGGCTATTTAACTTTTCGAATCGAGCAGAACTACGCGGGTCGCCATTTTGTTTTGACCGGAAGTTCTCACGCTACTCCTCTCTCTGTCTCTTTCTCTCTCTCTCTCTCTCTCTCTCCACTGCCCACATACAAAATTGTACGCTTTTAGTAGGCTACAGTTGTAATGGAACGTTTGTTCACGGCACAGAATTCTACAATTTTTCTGTTATAATCACAGTGTAGAATTCTGTGGTTTAGGGTGAACGCAAAATTTGTTGGCCTAGATCTAGGCTATAACAGTGAACGCGCACCGGGTGAGAATAGCCAAAAGACTAGCCTGCACTATTCTCATCCCGGGTGAGAATAGAGGTGGCCATTCTTATTTGCTCGCGACTCTGCTGGCTTGGCCTAGGCGGCGGAGGCCTACTCCTGGTCCGGCAAAGTACAATGGAGGGCTAGAGATGCGCACGAGAGCTCATTTGCATAATTGCAACCCCATTGGCCCTGCTCACGACTTATCATGCTATTGTGTATATGTGTGTGTGAGTGTCTTTAAATTATTGTTGCCAGGGGGGCTAGCCCCCCTGAAACCCCCCCCCCCCCCCACTGTTGGGTATGATACCACCATGGTCCACCAAAGTTAAATCCCCTGCCAACTCTCAACCACCACCTCTCGCTCACCTCGCCTCGCCAGTCGCCGCTGACTTCGCTGTGCGTGCGCGAAGTCGCCCGCGGAACTACCTTTTGTCCTCACGCAGAGTACTATGAGTGCGTAGTTAGGCTAGGCGTGCGTAGTAATCACGGGCCGAGACGGGTGGTCCGGTAAAGTACAATCCAGCCACTCCCTCTCACAAGCTGATAAGACATTACGAGTAGTTACGCCCATTCGAATAACGGAAGGACTAGCAGAGTGAGAGGCGAGAAATGACACGCAGACAGTGCCACCCATCACCGTGCCGTCCTGTGTGTGAAACTGAAAGGGAAGGGAGAGGGTGGTGAGATGAGGCGAGTGGGGAGTTGATCAGGGCCTAGCCCTAGGCCTAGATCTCCTTACCTTCCTTCACCACCTGCGCAACAGGGCTAGCCCAGTTTAGATCCCCGCCACGGCCGGCTTTCTCGCTGAGCGAGTTCCCGTACTGCGGGGCAAGATGAGAAATTGGTCATTTCTTGGGACACGAGACGAGAAGCATTTCTTGGTACCGGGATGGGGGGAGGGCTGGGTGCAACACCAGAGGACAAAAAAACTGAAACTGGAAGCAAATGTTTAATGTTTAGGATTTTGGGCGCTTTTTCGGTAGTTCCCACCCCCCTATATTATATAGTAATTTATTCGGGTCGGGGTAGGGGTGGAGTAATTTTCGGCATTTCGGGAATATTATCGGGTCACAACTTTACTAATATCGGCCTAGGTCCAATATTCAACTCACGAAACTCCTTTAGTACAATACATGAACGAAAATTACTTGGATTAAACGCTTATTTGTAACAGTAATAGTAATAGGTTAGCTTCCAGTGTCTCTCTCCATCCTCCTCCTCTCTCTCTCCCTCCCCCCTTCTCTCTCTCCCTCTTTTGGTAGGCTAGATCTAGAAGAGAATCTAGAGAATGGTTCAATTTCCAATTTGGCAACCAAAGAACGGTTGGCCAAATTGTACTTTCACTTCCGACCAAAACAACAATGGCGACAGTTTGGACGACAGACAATTTCCCAGACGCACTTCATGATTGCAATTAACGGTAATTGCCCAATGCATAGTGTTTAACTCTTATCCTGCATCTGTGCCCAGATGCGTGTCTTATCAGCAACCGATTACGTCGGACTCGCCGGGCAGGCCGCCGGGGTCACTCAGTGTGTACTGTTGGTGTACAGCGCGCGCGCCGGGAAACGTGTGTTTTCGCCATGAATACCGCGGGAGTGTGTTAACTGATGATGAAAATAACGCTCTATCCTTCATAGCATTCTATTTATAAAGTGTTACAAACACATGAATAACCCCCTCTCACAAGCTGATAAGACATTACGAGTAGTTACGCCCATTTGAATAACCTTTCTGGACGCTCTTGTTGTTATGAATGACCGGAGGTTCGAAAAGGGATAATTTAGGTCAATTTCCTAATGTTTTACACTCAAATTGTTCTTTGTACCTGCACAAGGGTATTCAAAACTATCAAACAAGCTCATTTTTTATCAGATAGTATTATTTCATACAAAATCAAGCTCATTTGAAATATTTTGTATAGAAAAAATGGAAGTCTTGTTTCCTGACTATCCTTTCGAGCTCCTCATGTCTAAGTGGGTCAATTTCTTCTATAATTTCATTGGATGAACATCTAGAGCTATCAACTTGGCATGTTTTGAATGAGACGTATGCCTCGATTACGAACCAACGCAGGTGGTTCTAGAAGAAGGCCACAAACGCACACAAACTCAAGCAGACTGACGCACACACACTTGACCTGCGTGAATGGGGATCCGACTCGGGACCCGAATGACACGTAAGAGGATGCGCGTGCGCTGAGCCAGGAGCTATACTGACTCGGGACCAGAACGCAGGCGAGGTGCCGAAATAGGCTTATCGGGCTACATAAACCCGGCTCCCGCAGGATGAGGGTTAATTATGTAAATAAGACAAATCGATTACTTGGATGTAGTAATTTAACCTAAGTCTACATTACGAATGCCAAATCGAGCGTAATTGAGCAAATTTCGAATAAATTACTATAATATAGGGGGGTGGGAACTACCGAAAAAGCGCCAGATTTTGATTACTACTGCAGCTCTCTGCAAAGTAAAATGTGCGTTGGTGCAGGCCTTGTATGAAATCGGGAAACGTCATAACTTGTAAAAGTGTTTTTGAACTTAGGGGCCTAGGTGTTCGCGTTCATTGGATTGGTGACAGTAAATTAGATCTGTATATTTTAGCTTTCTGTTCAAGATTAGCAGATTTTCAGTATCACTGCATCTTGCCCTCCCACAGTTCTTACACCTCTCACACTGAATAGGTCTACTTGGGCTATTCTACTCTACTTTGAGTTTGAGCATTAATTTTTGTCTTTCATGTTTATAGGCCTATATGATATGAATCATGACAGTCGATATTCTGGTTCTAGGCTCAAAACAAGATTCATTTTCATATAGTTTATATACAGGCGAATATGATGAAGGGAAAATATTTAATAAGTCGCACAAGACCTCAGGTGCCACCACTTTCTGTATGTAATCAAGATTGTAAATATTTGGTACGTGACTCTTACTTGAAATTATCTCCCAAACCCTCAAATTGGTGTGAAATAACCTTGCTTTGATAAATTGATGGTATTTATTTCAGCATTCATGGGTTCAACAGTATAATAATAATGGGTGTCAGTATAATAATAATGGGTGTTTCTCGAAAATTGGCTTCTGTGGCGATCGCCCGAAAAGTTCCTCCTTTTTTAGAATTCGAAGTTGAGACTCATGAAGAAATCGAGGGTCGGGAAGCGCCGAATGACCTTGACTTTGAAAATACGTGCCCCTAACAATTCAGTGTTAGGTGGGCGTACTCATGCCTACAACTTCCATACTTCGAGGGGATATCAATTAAAAATTTTTACCAGAGTATGAAGGAGTGGAGCTACGAACATGAAATTTGGTATGTAGACACTTATATTTTTCTCTATGTAGTCACCAGCTGTAAGAACACATTTTTGCTAGCGATGAATGACCTTGAAAAGTCTTTCAGAAAAAATGATTGATTTTGCCTTTCAAAAGAGTGTTCCACTTTGTTTATGACGTCATCATCTGTTTCAAATCTTCTGTGTTTCATATGTTTCTTCAAATTTGAGAATAAAAAAAAGTTTTAAGGTGCTAACTCGGGGGAATATGGTGGGTGTGGCAATATTTCATGCCCATATTCCTCAGCCGTGAATATCGCCTTCCGCGACGTGTGTGCCGTGGCATTGTCATGAAGCAAAAAGACACCTTTCCTCAGTTTGCCTTGTCATTTTTCCTTCAGAGCTACCTTCAGTCTCTTTAGCAAGTCTGAATAGTAGTCCCTTGTGATAGTGTGACCCTTTTGTAGATGATCCGTATGAATTATATCATCCTGATCCGAAAATACAGATAACAACACTTTGCCAGATGTATTCTGCACTTTGGCATTTTTGGGGTGGGGGAAAGATGGTGTTTTTTATTGCATTGAAGTAAAGTTGTCAGGATCTTCATCAGACAGTCAATCATTTGCTGACTGCACTGTGGTCTCTGGGTTTTTTTAATGAGGGGTAAGGAGGCGGGGCGCCCATCTTGCTGACACTTTTGACATATTCAAATAGTCATGAAGAATTGTCTTGACAGATATCTATCCATAGCTCAAGCCAGTTTCAGTACAAAGTTGTCCGAGAATAACGCGCCTGTCATTCAACACAATCGTCTTGATTTTTGAAACATTGTCTTCAGCCACGGCTGAGACAGGGCGACCTTCTCGAGGGTTGTTTTCAATGGACATGTTACCACATTTGAGTCGCTTGCACCAATATTTGACCCCATCATAGCTTGGGCAGATATCTCCATATACTGCTGACATTTCATTGTGTACAGACCATGTTTTTTTTTTTCTTGGAGATGAAGGAACTTCATCACAGCTCTCATTTCAATTTTTTCCATTTTGTGAACAAAAATCAAAAGTGCTAATCATGCTTTCAAGGGTGATGTTAAACTACCTGCTGTACAACCTGTACTAACCATCAGAAATTCCCTATTATTGATGCACATTCTTAGTTTAGATGTATCTTGAACCTGTTTAAATTTCTAGTTCGTAGCTCCACTCCTTCGTACTTAGGTATAAAACTTATTGATACCTACTCGTATGTCCCTCTGCCTCTCTATCTCTTTCAGTCATGCCCCCATCTGTATTTTATAACGAAGTGAGTATTCATTCAGACTGGGGTCTGATTAAACAAAAATGATATTTGGACTCTGAATTGAGTCCAGCATGACGTCATTTCCGACCTTTGTATGGTAGTGAGGAGGTCCTTCTCGGTCATGGTTGAGACGTAGGCTCTAGTGTCAGGCATGACGTTGGTGCGACATCGGGCGAGTAGCCACTCGGAATATATATATACGGTGCATGTTGTTATTTTCTATCTAGTAACAATCACGCACTCTCGATCTGCTGGGGGAAAAGGATGTTGGGAAGAGGCCACGGCTGTCGATTTTGTGCTGTATGTGATTTAAAAAGAAAATTAATTACAGAAAAAGTATAGCTCACAACAAAATGAACTTTGGAAAAACGAATGGTGGTGGGAGTAATGATGATGCTGTAGTTGTGGTGGTGGTGCCCGGGGCCTGTTACCGTGTATGTAGGCCCTGAGTTGTCGGTTACCGTATACGTAGACACTGTCATTGAGCAATGAGAGTGCTGTCTTTTGACACAGGAACACAGTCCTAGTAGGTAATAATATGGTAATTCTAGATCCAGACCTGCCACTCATCCCGATTTAGTCGGGATATCCCGATTTTTTGCTCCAAATCTCAAGCATCCTGATTTTCCCGATTTCGATCGTGTATCCCGATTTTTTGTCCCAGTCTGCTGTTGTGTTGGATTTTTATGAAAACTAAAACGTACTCTGCCTTCTCCTTTATCGCGGGAAGCACCCGTTGAACTTTTTGTCAGTAAAGTAGGAACTCGGAGCACTATTTCCCGAAATATCGATGCCACAATTAGTAGTTGACTCGCCCCAAGTTGTGTGTGATCTTTGCCCGCACTCAGAATTCTCCGATGATAGCCTGGTAACTGTTATAATTTGGGACATACAAATAATCGATAATATTCGTAGTTCCGCTGCTACTTTCAAAACAAGCCTTGTCCGAGGTCTGGTAACTGTGCGTTCACACCAAACACTCGGACGAGCGACTGTCTTTCTAACCCTTACACAACTACATGTAACCGCGCTGACAAGACAAACATACGGCCGATGTCGTTGCTTTAGTCTGAACGCATTATGAGGGATAAGAGATTTGTTGGTACAATTGATCGGTCGGCCGTCGTCGTTATCCTAGAGTACTAGAAGTGAAACGACTGTCGCTCATCTGAGAGTTTTGTGTGAACGCGCAGTTAGTCGGACCCGTTAATAAAATTGTTTCAATCGCGCATTCGCGTCACGTGACATGGCATCGCCGTGTGAGTTCTGCGTGTCGGGGACCGTCCGTTGTCGGGGTCAACTTAAGTTCATGTATTTCGGGACTTATTGGTTGGGGTGGGGAGGGGGGTAGAGACTTTTGGACTAGGAGTGCTTGACGTGATGCTTCAGAATTTACAAAAAATAATAACTCGCACACACACACACACACGCAAACAAACAAAGACACTCAGGGGGCATATAGGCCAAGTAATTTATGGACACCCCTGGAAAAATTCTAAGTCAGCTGTGGCAGTCACCTTGGTGATTTGCTGTTGATCCCGATTTTTTTCACCAAATCCCGATTTTTTTCTCCCTGAGATCCTGATTTTGAGGTTTCATTAGAGTGGCAGGTCTGTAGATCTAATTCTGGTTTTATGTAAAATCCCCCGGCGACAGATATATTATGTAACCTACTTACACTCACATAAGCCGGGTCCGAATAAATAGAACATTTTTTTCAGATCCGAGTCCGAAAAGGTAAGGGGCCCTAGACATGTACGATCCAATAAGGCGGTTTTATCCGGAGTTGGAGCCTGCATTGAAACCGCCGCGCAAAACCGCCATTCGACGGGTCGGCGCATCATCCACATCACTCATACTTTAACCGCAGCGAGTGTACTGACAATGACTATTTGCTTGCAATTTATGTGCTGCTCATGGAGAAGAATTTTGTTTTCTCTTAGATTATTGAAAAAACGCAAATTCCGCTCGGATCTTGCCTTAAAAATGAGTCACTTGTTTAAAAAGTGTCATTTTAAGTGCGGTAAATCATTTTGAAGATATTGACAGTGACAAGATAAACCGGCTAAGCCCGCGACGTCACACAAAGGCTATAGGCGGCAGAACGCGCTGAGCTGTAGTCAGAAAATCCTACATGTTTAAATCGCCAGTTCAACTTTTTTCTAGCAGTGTTTATCCACATCTGCAGTTCTGCCGCCAGGTTTGCCTTTTCATTGCGAACCGGCAGTTTGGAACGTACATGTGTAGGGCCTCTAAAACCCATTTTTGGAGTTCTATAACCCTGCCTTTCAATTTCTTTGCTCTTGTTGTTGTCTTTTATATAGGCTATGCAGATGATGTGATTTATGATCGTTCATGGACAATTCTGTATTTTCAACACTGATAAAGTTTTTAATTTCAACAGAGCTGGTGGACAAATGTATAGGCTCCAGAATTCACATCATCATGAAGAATGACAAAGAGATTGTGGGCGTTCTACTTGGATTTGATGACTTTGTCAGTATCCTTTTTATGAAGGTTGAGTTTGAGAAAGGTTTATTACATTTTATTTTTGACAGCGTGAAGTGTGTAAGCATTCTGTGTTTTATTCTCACTACTGCTATAGCCTTGTGCTGTAAAACATGCTTCTTGGTGATAGAAGACACTTGAAAAAGAGATTTTTTTCCAGCATTATATAACAAATATTAATGTTATCTTTGATCATCATGATCATTACCTTTCTCACCCTCTCTCTCTCTCTTTCTTCTGTAGCTGTGGCTTCATAAACGGGCCGACAGCACGCAGGAACTCAACACTTGCCCTATGGGTCCTTAAAAAGTCCTGAAAGTGGGTTATTGAAATGTCCCAGCAGACGGGTTCTGGCACGATAGCTGGCAGGACATCTCAGGAACACATGGTCCATAGTTTCGTCCTCCTCCTTGCAGGCTCGACAGGACGGGTCTGGGTTGTCTGCTGGCGCATATGACCTCAGCTTGGGCGATTTTCCACCAGTTCTCATTTGGTAGAGGAGACGGAGGTCCTGTCGCCTGAGGGAGGCCTCAAGCTGGTATGATGGCGGCTGGGCAAACAGCAGTTTGGGTTTCGCCTCTCTCTTCCACTTTGCGCGGGTCAATTGGTGGATGACGGCTTTAGCTGCCGAGAAATTGATTGGCGTGTCAATCTGGGTAAGTGCTGTTGCTTCTTTGGCAATGCTGTCAACTTTCTCGTTCCCAGCCAGTCCGGCGTGGTCTGGAATCCACTGTAAGTGGATGGAACATTCGGAGCATTGACAGAGGGTGTGCAGATGCTGCCAGATTGAGCACGCTACCTTTTCCGATTGGTTGGTAGGGCCGTATGAGAGGCGCATGACTGCTGACCTGGAATCAGTGTATACATGGATGCGTACACTGTTCGGAAGGCTGCCTGCTGTATGTAGTGCCCCAAGCATGTCAAGCGCTGTGTCAAGAGCTACAAGCTCGGCCCTGTAGCTGGAGGAACCATACCGGCCCACGGGTACACGTTGGTCGAGTTTGGTATCATCGGTCTTGATCAGTATTCCACTGCCTCTATATACTATACTCAGTACCGTGCTTAGCTGAACCGTCAGTCCAGACTTCTACATCAGGCAGGGGGAGTGATCGAATTGTAGCCTCTGCTGCTACTTTCCTGACGGCTGGTTCATTAGCACGCTTGCAGTCGACAACAAGATCGGTGCTAAAAGTCAAGTTGCATGATGCAGCCTTCCACGGTTGTGTGTGTGTGTGTGGGGGGGGGGGGGGGGGGGGTAAAACAACCAGCTCCTCACGTGGGTACGTATCCAGTTCAGTTTCGGCTACAAGGTTCTGGGCATGCTTTCTCCAGTTCGACTTGCCTGTCCGCGTGGGCACTGATTTTGTTGGGGAGGCTCTGCGTTGCTTTCTCACCCTGCACCAGGGTATATAGGCCACGAACAAACACTTTCCACCTTTCTCTATCCAGGGCTAGCCTTTTGATGTATTCCGTGTCTTCCCACTTTCCTGTACATCAATTTCTGTGATTCTTCTCCAGTTTCCATGCTGTCTTCCCTTCGACCTTCTAGGCTTCTACCCTGTGGATTCCAATTCAACACTTTCTTTGTTATGCAGCTGCCTGACTTCCTGAGAGTATGTCCAATCCATCGCTACTGCCTTTTTCTTACCTCATCTCTAACTGAGATCTGTCTTGTTTTCCATAAAACACTTCCTCTTTGGTGACCTTGTCTGTCCATCTGATCCTCAGTAACTTCCTCTTTATACATGTGTACAAAGTACAAGTCTGAGATGCGTTCCATGTTTCACATCCATACACAGAACTGACTTCACATTTGAAGTGAAAATCCTCAGCTTTGTTCGAAGTGAGATATCTCTAGTCTTCCAAATTCTGTGCAAAGATATGAAAGCAGTCTGTGCCTTTCCATTGTTATTTATACAACATTTTTATCTTCTCAGTGTTTGTGGAGGACTTCTGAACAGCGTTGTTATATCAAAGGGTATAAAATATAAGGGCTCAGAGCTTATACTTGTATGGGATAGAACACTATATAAATCCAATCTATCTTTATTATTAGTAGTAGTAGTTTTAATATTATCATTTGAAGTGTTGTTGTTTGTTGTTATATATTATTAATATATTATTATTATTATTATGCTGTGCATGTGTGTGTTATTGCTTTCCTTACATCAATTTCTAGACATGGTCCTCGAAGATGTGACTGAGTTGTAAGTATCAGTTTTCTTTTTTTAAGTCTTGATAATGTTTTAACCCTATCCATACGTCGTGTTTTACTATCGTGTCCTTGCGACATGGGGAAACTGTGCCACCTCTTTCCAAAGAGGAAATTTACTTGTTAATCCAATCCGTATGGTTTGCATAGCAGTTTGTGAAAAAATGATTTTTTGAGAAATACTGAAAGTTTCAAAGAGATCTTTGCACTAGAAGCATTTTAAAATGTGAAGAATACCAACCCGGGGTACAAAATGACCCCAAGGCGTACGGATAGGGTTAAGATTCCTTTGGCTGTCTATGTCCTGACTCAATCTACTGTCTAAAAATATTTTATACCTCTTAAGATCTTGAGAACTTGCATGTAGTGTAACTGTTAAGCTTTTTGTCTTTGTCAGCAGAAGATATTTGTTCGAATCCCATTTAGAGAAATCATTTTGTGAAATGTCTTCGTCCACTGAGATGTGCCCCATTCAGCCCTGGTTAGACCTGGTTGAAAGACAAGTCTAATCAGGGCGTCTTCAAATTGTGCATGTTCACATTGACCTTAGCAAGTATGTTAAGCTATAAAAATACAATCCTTTTGTTTTTATGAAATGTGACCTTTATTTGCTGGATTGCTGTATTATTAAGCTACACCAGTGATGGACTATGAAATGAACTAAAATATTTTTGTTATTGTGTAATGTTAATTAAATTAAATTAACAAAAATCTTGCAAAACGCAAATGTGATGTTTTTAAAATAATGTTCAAGCAATCACTGGAGCGTCTGTTTTTATTTTGTTTTTTGTTGTTGGTTTGTTTGCTTGTTTTGTTTGTTTGTTTGTTGTTGTTTTTTTAGGAGGCGAGGGGTGCTCATGTCCATAATTACATAAAATTTAATAAAAATCTAATGTGTACAAATTTATGTACTCCTTCCACTTGAGTCATAAACAATTCAGTGTTAGCAGATGTAGAGTAATAAACCCGCATTGTCTCAAATAACTGAATGTGGGTGGTTGGCGGGTGCTCTGGTGTGGTTTGCATCTTCTTTCCTATCAGACATCTATTGTCCTTATCTCTCCTCCTTCTTTTTCGTGTTTATTACTCTCTTGTAACACCTCTAATCTTTGGCACTTATATGACTTTATTGTGTTGCAAGTGCTGTAAAACTCTTACTAAAACTAAGATAAGTGAATGCTTCTCCTCTGATACTGAACTGAAAGTTTTTTGTTTATTCTTCTTGACAACTGTAGAAATCTTCCAGCTTACACAATGCTCTCTCCGCCGTTGGGTATAGGGCAAATCATATAACTTCCTTATTTACTGATATTGTATCTTGTCTTTTTTGTTTTCAGTGAGAGCACCTCTGAAGGCAGACGAGTGACGAAGCTGGACAAACTGTTGTTAAATGGAAACAACATTACAATGGTGGGTAATGTTGGTAGCTTTTTGGCGTACAGAGATGCACACCAATCTGTCCCCGTGGTTTTATGCAAAAAAAATTCTGAAATTATGCAAACTGAGGCTGAAAATGTGAAATTATGCGATTCTGTTAATTTGATCAAAGAATGATAAAGGAAAATAATCTGAAATTATGCAAAAAATGATCAAACTTTGCTGAATTGTGCGGGTGCGTAACACCACGGGGACAGTCTATCATATCCGTTTTATTGGAATGCAGTGTTCAAAGAATATCTGCCTTCTGTGGCCTGTTTTGACTTCATGAAAAAAAGGAGTTTGCTTTATAAGGAAACTTAGAAAAGTTTTCTTTTTCTCTATGCCATTGCAAACGTGTAGGATTAACCCAAACCAAATGACTCCCAACTAGTTAGAATGCAGCTAATACCAGGACTATAACTATAAACAACTACGTAATCAGCAACAAACACTGTTAACAGGCCCATGCGTCATCAGAGCTGCTAAGATGATAGAACCCACTTGAATCTAGTCATATGAGGGTGGGTGCTGACGGTGGGTATGAATCAAAGTAGGTCGTCCCGACTGAAGTTTTACGTAGGGCTGGGCGATGAGTCGCTTTAGCAAAATTCGGATAATATGTTAGTGCACCTCTTCGGCAAATAATATGATGTGAAATGCCTCGGCAAATGGGTAGAACCACTTCGACAAACGGGTTAGCATTACTTCAACAAATGGGTGTACCCACTTCGGCAAACGAGTCATGAAGGAGAGTTAAGAGTCTGATTTCGGATTGTGTCTTTTTCAGAATTATCCGATTATCCGGATATTAATCCGGATTTTGCCCACCTCTAGTTTTACGTAAGCAGAGGATAGCTTCCTTCACACAATCAAATGCAGGGTTGTTTTTTTTCCTGATTACATTGATACCAAGAGCAGTTATCCGTGCCCGACTGCATACCTCTCTGTGATGAATATTAATCCATTCATTGCCAGGTGGTGTTTGTCCCTACTAATATCCGGATAATCGGATAATTCTGAAAAAGACATAATCCGAAATCAGATTAGACCGCGAGTCCACTAAAAATGAGACATGAGATTGCTGTCCTGGCTGACAAGTTTAGCTGAAAAGCAGGACAGCAATCTCATGTCTCATTTTTAGTGGACTCGCGGTCTAGACCTTGCCCACTCATGACACATTTCCGATTACGGGTCTTTGATAATGTCACTTTCCTCATAATTATATTCCCCGTCTTACCCATAATTTTGTTTTAAAATTGCAAATCTTAGTCAAAAAGTGTAATTTTCTGCCTTTCAAAAGTCATTTTGATGTTTACATTTTGCGAGGGCGCACATTCATCCACAAGACTAGACCCATGTTTACTGATCAAGTTTGGCAGTAAAGTAATTCTAGAAAATTTGGCCATATCGCATTTTTACTTTTTCCAAATATGAATCCACGCGATGCTTGTGGCTAAATTTCCATACTGAAGAATACGAGCCAGATTATTAGCGTGGTGAACATGTTTCATCATATATAGGCAATATGCAACCTGGAACAGCAAATTTTGCAAACTTCTGTGACATCCGCGATACAACAAATTTAAAAATTAAGCGTTATTGTTACATACCAAGTATGTCATAATAAGGCAATAGAGAGGTTAAGAGGAAGTTATGGCATTTCTCCTGGGGGGGGGAGGGGTGTTATCCCTCATAAATTTGAGCGCATAGAGCCTACTGTTGAGCTGGGATATGCGCTATACAAATGCTATTTATTATATTACTATTATTGATGGGTAGGAGTGTGGTCATATTCTTTTTCACTTCTTTTCCTTTTTTCTCTCTCCTCCCTTCTCTCACTATATCTTACTCCCTTGCTCTGCTCACCTTCTCTCTCTCTCTCTCTCTCTCTCTCTCTCACTCACTTTTTTTTTTTGGTTTGTTTTCAGAACATATAATGACATTGCTTTCCTTCTGTCAGTTTACTCGAATTTACAGTTTCTCTAATATCAATTTTTTTTTTTTCAGTTGGTTCCCGGAGGAGAAGGGCCCGAGGTGGCGTGAGGCCACACAAACCTGTTTGGATATATTACACTTGTGGACTTGTGTATGGGGAATGAAAGGCACTGTTGTTGTGGCGCTCCATGATGGTGTGGCGACAGAATCTGCTTGTGTGATCGAGTTCAGCTAGATTTTTATGTACAACCCACCACTTTGTTTAAAACAAAAAGTTTTCTCAATTTATAAAATATACAATGAGTTATGTTATTTTAGATCTATCAGTGCTTCCACTTTTCCGTATTTTTACGGAAATGCCAGTTCCGTACTTGTCCCTCCATCATTATCTACTCCCTCCGTAAAAAAACTGCGACAGTGCAGGACTGCCGAAATTCCGTACTCGCCTTCGTATCGTCTTGTATAAGGTACGGATATTACGGTAATTCTCTCGGCAACAATCTAACGTTATAGAAACCTGCCAAATTGCGCATTTCCTGCAATCGGACATTATACCGCTATGTCCCAGTCCCATGCATTCATTGCGTGTTGGTCGGCAGTACATTTTTTACCTGCAGATGGATCAAAATCTGGCGAACCTTTTGTGCCAATTTCCTCCTTTCTGTCATTCACTCATTCCTTCCGTCTATCTTCGGATTGTTGCCGCGGCTGGAAAATCTGCGCGTTGATCAAGTATACTGACTTTTGATCTTAGACAGAAAATTACTGTCGGAAAGAAACTTTTTTCGCAAATTTTATCTAGATCTAGAGAAATTATCAATGCGAAGATTCTACGGCACGTGAACGCAATATAAGGGCCGCGATGAAAGAATATGCTGATACGGTCGTGCCCACTACGGATGGGATCGGCCGATTGCGCTGATCGCCCGACTCGGTCGAACAACCGTGTTTGCTTTGAAACTGAAAACAAACACGTTTGTTTTTTAGGCGATCGAGTCGCCCGATCGGCCGATCCCGTCCATAGTGAGCACCACGTATAAAATCAAGAATAATTCGAAGTGGTGTTCCGAGGTTGTGACAGGCGACATTCAGACATGAAAATTTAGAAAAAATGTGGGTATACGCTGCGCAACCGTATTTTGAAGGTACATCTATTCATTATTCCCAGGTTTGCCTGCTGTCAATGGTGCGACTACAAATTAATTGAATTATAGTAGCAATGAAAGGGGAACCTGCTTTTAAACATTTCCAACATTGGAAAGATATGCTGGCGATGAAGTCAAACAAGACAAAATGTTAGTGAAAAATGAATATTATGGGCTGTAGGCAATATCTTCAAACAGGCTCCCAAATGCCAATTTTCTACCCCCAGACCCCCTGCAGAATTTTCCTTACTTTTCAGCTTCAGCTGGTGGAAGCACTGATCTATGATCGTCATTTTTTTTTCAACATGTTTTTTTATTATGAAATTGTTATGAAATCAAATTGGAATTTTACTTAAGTGCAATCAGCTGATAGAGAGGTCGACTGGGAACAGGGAGGTAGATGAATGGGTTTTTTTATACTAGCTTTATTCAACACATTTTGATTATCAGTAATATCAGTACTGTCACATGTATGCATGGACAGATTTTGCCTGCTCTGAACTTCTTTCAAGGTCTCATTAGATCACCACATATGTTGGACTCATTTTGTTGACTGGTTTTATCACCCAAAAGACACATTCTCATTCATTTTGAGGTTGTTGTTTTTTTTCTCGGAGGGGGGGGGGGGGGGGGGGGGGGGTGGTTGCGTTTGAGAAAAGTTTGGTTTTTCTTTTTTGAAAGAAAGTTTGACCAAAATTCTGTCTGACGTTTGACCTGGGTTTGATATTTCTCTTAGTGTGGAAGCATGTTGTGGTAATTGAGTATTGTATGGTATATGTAAATGACTGAATGTGTATGTCGATATGATATTTTGTAGTCTTTTCATACTGTATGAATGTTTCATTTACAACACCCAATAAATGTTAACACCACAATTTTGTCTCTCTCTGTTTTTGGAGGGATTGGATTTTACTTCTTTTGTCTTACTTTGTTCCTTAAGTTTTGATTGTAACGCGTATAGAGCATACTGTTGAGCAGGAATTTGCTTTGTACAAATGCTGTCTAGTATTATTATTCTATATTTTTACTTTGAGATAGTTTGCTATTGGCTCTTTAACTTCTACTTCTACTTCTACGTCTACCCTCGTGCAAATGACATTGTGTTGTTCAAATCCCTGGTCGTTATTTCAGTTTTATGACCAGAGTGCAGAAATTAGCCACGGCCCAGTAAACACTGTGATCATAGGAAGAAGAACAAGTCCATAAACACCATAATGGTCAACAGTGTTAAGAAAAAAGTAATATGACACAGAAATATATTATTACTAGCTGGGCCCCCTTTTGATGAAAGGAATGATCGGTGTATTAACATCAACTGAAAATCATTAGCCTACTATTACTACTATATTTACACTCTACTGTAATGGAGCAATAAATCCTGAGAGATGCAAAAAATTTGAAGGTTTAGATATAGTGATGTATAGATTTATTCTCTATTCCGCTTTTGTGGTTGTACACTCCAGAATTTCAAAGGAGTGGAAACAGTGTGCACGGCTAGTGAACGGAAACCTCACTTGTTTACAATGGCGTTTTAGAAGACGGACTTTCCCAAGATTAGATCTAAACGAAACTAATGAAAAACTGAAAATTAAACTACGGTGACCTCATGCTCCCCAATAAAACTGTGCACCCTTTAAATGATTCTGAACCACAATAAATTTTGTCACAATCGAAAGTTAAGCGGTTCGGAATTTTAGGCAGCCAAAGTGACGAACTTTCACAAATATATGTATAGATGATGCACAGGAATCCCTCAAGTGTTCTATGCTCTCGAGACAGTAGACCGTCACAGTGAAGGGTCTGGAAGGCAAGAAGCTTCATTGTCTGTTAGAAACAATTTGTCAAGGTCATAACACAACTGCCGAAGTCTTTTTTTGTGAGGTTTCAGGTCTCTGGTATAGTAAAATCAGAAATGCCTGTACATTAACCGTGTAGCCCGTTTCATATCTTCAATGCACAGTCTAGCACCCATAGCAAAATTGGCAGGACACAGAAATCTTTTCGTTGGGTACAAATTTCTATTCGTGCTTTAAATTTACTACACAGAATATATAAAAGTATAAAAAACATTGGGGAACTGCAAATGTTTGCTATGTGCCTGCTAAACTGTAGCATGGTTGTTTCATATATTATGATATACATGTACTAGGAATCCAATGATAATTATAGAGACATTTCCACTTTTGCTCAAGTCATACAGTTGACAGGGGTAAGGACTGTTCTTTTTAAGATTTCTGAAATCGACCAAAAAAATTACTTACGTCATAATGGAATGACCATGACAAATTACTTTGGTAGGTCCGAGATAGTGCATTTTAAAAATGTGTATAAGATTCAGAGGGGCACTGTTGATGCCATTGGGGAAAAAAATAGCCTTTAACTCTTTACTTCTTTTGCATTATAATGAGCAAACGTAAGAAAAATGATGAGCAATGCTTGAAGAGAAAATAAATTTAATAATAATACACTGGAGTCAGAAATGTGACACAATTTTCAATCATAATATGAAGATATATTTATTATATTTTGTGAATACTTTCTCTCATACATTATTTTCTGGACCTGAGGCAAAGTCAATGAAGGTTTTTCAAACTCAGACGGAGGATACCATTTTAACAAAGTTCTCTGAATGAAATAAAACAATGAGCAGTGAATTCACTTTGGTGTACAACGTCATATCAACTGCATCTACCTGCATGTCACTGAAGGGTTCAAAAGTATGATCATTTCATCAGTCCAGATGACAAGATTAAAAAAGAAAAATATTTATTACTTGCCACTAGAGAGACAAAACAGTGAGACTATTATAAGAACCTTAGAATCCACTTCTTAAACATGTACATATATATATATATATATGTATTATATGATATGCAAAAAGTGTACCAAGTTGTTTTTTTATGTTCACCAAAGCATGCTTCTGTTCTCAGCCCGATTAAAAAAATAACAACCTAGCAGTTTGAGAAAGTCAGTCAGATAGATCTAAAGCTTTCCATCCTTTGCACTTCACGCACATAGCACGGAAAAAGATTTGAGAATGATAACATATGTCTTATGCCACACCATCGACACAATTTAAATTATGTAAGGGATGGGCCGTTTTCCACCCTGCCTGTTGGAGCCGACCCCAACTAGGTATTGAGAGGGAATCGTTGTGCCATTCCAGCCAAAAGACTGATTCTTGATAAAGTAGACTTCCCCATATGGGAACTGAACATGCACCTTTTGCGTACAACAGGGAAGATCATATCCAATTCACCACAGACACCAGTGGGAACTGATGATAGAGATACAGTGGAAACCATAAATAACAGGCCCGGTAATAGCAGGGAACCGGTAATAACAGGGATTCTTTAAATCCCTGTTTTTTTTCTACTCTTCGTCACTATTAAAAGTTATTAGTAATAATAACAGGGCCTGTGCGGAACCATATTGGTAATAGCAGGGACAAAGGCTCATTAATAAGGTGTAAATTTAAAAGTAAGAGAGAGAGAGCGTAACGCATTTTTGATTTAACAGGAATCTGATATAACGACTTTTTCTCTGTCCCACCATCCCTGTTATATCAGGTTTCCACTGTATTTAGTAACGATCTCACATTTAAAAATATTGTATTTGGACGGATAGCTGAAAACCAAAACGACAGCAAATCAGGAAGTATTGTAAAGAAAACATTTCACAGCTACAACAACATGAAAAGTTTTTTGGGTTGAAGATAACATAAACAAAAGCATTATGATTATTACACTTTTGCACGCAACCTTTCTTCCTCCATCAAAGTGCAGTTCATTTAAGTACATATGCAATAATGAAAACAGAATATTGTAATCATGGCTACACATTTTAGACTGGGCAGTGTTAAAATCTGAAAAGAAAAATGATTATGTAACGAAAAGAGCTCAACAACAACCAGCATATAATAATTGCTCACCGACATACACCGTTGAGGAAATTTACCATACAGTACAGCCAAACCCTCGTTACACCGCCAGCCCCACTTGCTCAACTGCAAGGTTTAGCTAATGTATGAAAAGGAACATTTATTATAAACATAGTACTTGTGTCATCATACTGACAACTGACATTACAACTATATCACCGAGTTGTGCGATCACTTATACTTTACCTTACTTACTTTTTCCATCCAGCCGCCATCAAAATCGATCTTCATCAAACTAATGTAAATTTACCCCACTATTCCACCGTCAGTGAACTAGTCACCAGAGCTACACACTACACACAGATCAGCTTCTGATCCATCAAAAAATATTCAGAGTTTATAGAGACGTTTTTCCCCTGCATGTAGCAATCACACATGGCAGATAAGTTAGTTTTAGTACGAGTTTTACAGCACTTGCAACACAATAAGGTCATATGAGTGCCAAAGATTAGAGGTGTTACAAGAGAGTAACAAACACAAAAGAGGAGGAGAGAGGACAGTAGTTTTTTTTTTATAGGAAAGAAGGAGCAGAGCACCCATCAAGGCAGATTATATCTTGATTAAGGGTAAGCCATATAACAGGGTTTGACTGTACTTCTATGAGCAGCTTAGGTAACGTGACTACAAATACATACAAAAACACAAAAAATTCACATTTTCATTTTTGTTGTGGTAGCTCATTCCCTGCATATTGCCACATACTAGGTCACAGAAATCCCCCACTTTGTCCCTGTTATGTCTGTTCTATGTCAAAATTGTATCTACGCTTAGATGTGTTTATCTTTCTTATTAATCTCATATCCTCCATTTCACACTCTGTTTAAACTCTGTATTTTTTCTGTAAAGGTAAACAAAATATGACCGGGTTTATTATTTCCACAAAAAATAATAATAATATGACTGGGTTTCGGGCCAGATGAGTACATAAAGTGCATGTTGATAGTCAATATACATCTCACTAGAAAATTTTTCTGCTATCATTTATATCTCGCCAAAATGAAAAAAATACCCTGTAAAAAATTAGCAAAGTTCTCACAAATCAAACATAATTAAGTATCTATGTGTGCTTTTTATAAAAGACATATAGTCGGGCACAGATAACACGTAGACTTACATGGACAACTCGTACAACTTGTCAATGTCATTCCCTGACTGATATCTTTATACTTTTTCGCTATGCGGATTACCCGAATAATGAATGTGATGAATATATATTTGTCAATCCCCAACGTGTTCGAGTTATCTGTACCTGACTGTAGTGAAATATTATGTAAATTAAGCTTCACACTGCAGACAAAGTTAAACACAATATAAGAGTGACATCAAGTATTTGTGCGACTTTTCCACACGCAATGTTCTTACATGGGACAAGTTGTTATGAAGCAACCGTCATATTGGGTCCCCTTTTGATGAACTTGTGTAAATCCTCATTTTAATAAGATTTTTACGGCACTTGCAACACGATTAGGTCATATAAGTGCAGAAGATTATCAGTGTTATTAGAGAGTAACATATGTAAAAAGAAGTAAGGATAGTAAAGATTTTATAAGAAAGAAGGAGCAAACTGCACCACAACACCCGCCAACCACCCACTTGTACATCCTCAGAACAAGGAAAATAAAAAATTTTGCAGCTCATACAGCCTACTTTAGAGTAGGTTCAAGCTTTATAATGCAAATACAGTCAAACTTGTATAAAACGGCTTCATATTGTCAAGGAGAAAAGTGGCCTTATAACACAGGTGGCCGTCTTAGGCAGGACTGATCAAAATGAAGAAAGCAAATCACTCTCTTCCGATGTCCAAACCAGGGCTGATGCCAGGCTTTAGACTGCCGTAAGGCTAATTCAAAAGGGTTTTTGTTTTCTTTCGAAAAAGGGAGGGTGGGTGGTGTAAGAAGGTTTTTTGCGTTGTTGTTTTGTTAGTTTGTTTTGATTTTTTGGTTAACCTTCATTTTTCTTCTGATTTTGTGCAATGGTAAAAACGAAATATGTCAGACGATGAAGACAGAGTGCCATGGTAAAACAAACACATGGGTCGCTACCACTCGGAGACAAATGACGCTTCTGTCGCAAGTTCACGTCAACGTCCATTGTTACTTTGTTACAGTTTAGGTAAACAAAACATGGACCAGTCACCTCACACACGATTTGTGTATAAGTTGTTGGCGGGGTTTATATAGATCTAGGTTATGATGGACCATGCTTCCCTCACCAACAGTTGAAAATTCATTGTTAAACCTACCCATTGGTCAACTTGGGTAAACATCCATTGGACGGATTAACCATAATGACAGGTGAATGGATTATGACTGCTCATCCACAGCGGGAAGAGCCAATTCAAAATTGATGACAAAGCGTCGGGCAATGAGTGACCACGCCTGGCCGCCTGAGGCATGTAAATTTGACCATGGGTACGTGAAATAAGCTGGCTGTGGCCGCATTGGAAAGGTGACAATTTTACACAGTTAAATTACATAGAAAAAACAAAAAGAGGGAAATGGGAAGTGGCTGCTTGTAAAAGTGATTGTCTTATACAGGCGACAATAGGGGCATGTTTGACTGTGACATGGCCACCTGTCTTCTCATCAATGGGTTTCCGTCTTTGACAATTTCAGCAGTACATTTCTACAAAATTATGATCCCACATTGTTAAACGTCTCCAAACTTCATGTTTGAAAAAAGCTCAACAAAAACATTTTTAAACCCCCCCCCCCCCCCCTTTAAAAAAAACTGAACTCAAAACATCTTTCGCGTCAGACATCACAAGGACCCAAATGTAGCCCCACAGAGAATGGAGACCTCAAAAGCACATACTTGGGCAAGATAATTTTGAAAGGCAGGCGAAAGTTTACTATTAACGATAAAAAAAACCTTCAACAATGCAACTGGGATCAAAAAGGAAAAAGCATTGCATGTACCGTCCCAGATTGTCTAATTCTTTTTTTCCAAAGCTGCAACATAATAAAAAAGTCCTGATTATTTTCTTCTTTCAATACAGCAAAACAATTAAAATCTGAGGCAGAGACCTCCAAATCAAGATAATAAAAACTCTGAGCCAAGCAGATAGGTAGCCATAAAAAAGCTTAACACTTACAGTACCAAAGGCCTATATAGTGAAAAACCCTCAAGTACTGCATCAGTGTAGAATGCTGAAGCCATGGTAGAATTCTTTAAATAAAAAAAAACCTTGGCAACCGAGGAAACAGGCTTTAAAAATTCATAGAGGTTCATCAACCATTCAGCTATCATATAGAGTGACTTCCTTTGGTATTTACTTTAGTGCAGTGCGTCCATTCGTTGTTGAATTATGTTTAGTGTGCCTGGTTGTGTATGCGACTAAAGTCGCCAGCGGTAGTGTGCGCATACTAAAGTCACCGACGGTACTGTAAGTGTTGAATCTCCCACTTCTAGAAGGGCCCTTTTGATTTCTCAGCCAGGGTCGCAGACATCTACCCAGTATACTACCATATGAGCCAAAGCTGTGTCCCACCCCTTGTGGGCTATATTAAAAACCAAGTAACTCATGAACTTATATGAATATTTACTAATATCATGTTTGACACAAATTTTTACTCAAATGTGGAAATAAAATTGAGCTGTTCTTCCTTTCCAGAACACAGACAACCCAAAATTAAAATTTTAAAAAATTAAGAAAAGATTCAGAATCTGTCTGTGATTTTGGTATTACTACAGTTACTAAAGAAAAACACAAAAAGAATCCGTCTCTTGAGACATTAACATTGCAAATGTTCCAACAACACCCCTCCCATGATAAGTGGCTTGAGGCACTCGTAATTCATTATTTAAACAATCTGGAATGTTTATGAGCCTGTCTCACACACACCTTGCACACGGGCCAAAGGCAGGATTTTCTAGCTTTAAAAAGAGTTTTTACGGAAATTGCTACACAAATAAGTCATAGAAAAGCCGAAGAATGGAGGTTTAACTAGAGAGTAGCATACAAAGAAAAGAAGGAGGTGAGTCAGATAAGGACGACAGATGTTTGAAAGGAAAAAAAGTAACAAACCACACCAGAGCACCCACCTACCACCCATCAAAGTAGGCCAATAAACGAGTCAGCCCACCCAGATGTTATAGCAACCCTCACAGCACACACAGAGACTGCCTTCCCAATTGGAACAAAACCATCACTAGAGCACTCACGCACACACATATTCTTGTGCACTTGCATGCATTATATATGTGTATATATATATATATATATATATATATATATATATATATATATAATGTAAGTAACAATAAGCATTTTCAAAGATACTGACAGATTAAAATTGATGAGCATGTACTACAAGGACACTAATAAGCAGGGGGGAGAGGCAGGTATTAGTTTTGCAAGAGATTGCAGAAAAGACAAAACAATCCATCATTCTAAAATGCAACAGGAGGCGAAAAAGAGTGAGAAACATTACAAGCAATGTCAGATTCCTGAAACTGCTATGGAGGCCCCACAGACTCAAGAAGTACATTTAACAAAACAGGAAGTTGAGAGCATATTGCAGATTCTTTCAGTCAACTTATTCACTTTCTCCATAATATAAACCTTTGGTAAAATAGACGAGTCCCACACAGACAGAAAGAACTAAAAAAAACATGTTCTGGGCTTCCAGTTTTCTCTTTGCTGAAGCATTTAACATTTTGTAGTCACATCTCGCCGATCTGCTTCGTTTACCACCCAGTTTCCTTGGATTTTCCCCCGAAATGCCTTTGCCTTTGATGGTAAGGGTTTTTATTATATGAGCCTTGTGATGGCAAAGTGTTAAAAGATAAACTAAAAAAAAAAAAGAATGAGTAGAATTTAATTCAGCTTTTCAAAGATGACCTTAATCACCACATAAACAATATCACACGGGAGGGGAGGTATTCCTGATGAGACAACAAAAAAAAGGCACACCCAGGGAGAATGGTAACGAAACACACACTCATGATTACAAAGCAAGTCACTTCAGAGAGTGACATTCAGATCTGTCTACTCCTCCAGAGTCAACTCTTTCATTCCTTCATTCATGTCACCTTCTCAGACTCGGCTGGCCACTACGGTGTCTAATCATCAGTCACTGGTTCATATCTGAAACACAATAAAAGAGAAATCATAGTGAGCAAATATGGCAAGCTGTGTAGCCATACGGATATGTCCTACTTTATGGTTTTAGCAAATGTTTTATGGCACTTGCAACACAATAAGCTCATATATAAGTGCAGAAGATTGGAGACGTTACAAGAGAGTAACAAACACAAAGCAGGCGGAGAGATAAGGATGGTATATGCTTAATGGAGAAGAAGATGCAGGTGACACTACCGCGAACAACCCATAGTCATATTCTATCTACCCAAAAACTTGCATTAAAATTTTTCCATTTACTACTGCTGTACCTTTTTTTTTAAGGCCATCTGATGGTGAAAATTCTAAAATCCATATACCTAGACTTAATATAGCAACGATAATATATTTATATTAGTCAGACATTAAACAATAAATTCAAGTAATTATTTATTATCATAAGCACAGGGTAACCATGGTAACCGAGCAAATATCCACCATAAAAAAGAAGGACGGGAGATAAGGATGATAGATTTTTTATAGGAAAGAAGAAGCAAACCACACCAGAGCACCCGCTAACCATCCACTCTAACTCTGGTAACAGTCATGCAGCCGACAGAGGTGTGTACCTCCCTGGCCTATCTTGAGTTAAGATCGAGTCACTAGTAGTCTCGTTTTTTACAAAATAACTATAAAGAGCATTGATCTACATTGTACATCCTGTAATTACACTGTATTTGACTAGTCAAACCAAAGCGTACTAATGAAAACCAGTTTTGCTTTATAGCGCCGTTTTCAGTCATTTCTAGTATGACTTCCTGCCTAGGCCTGATAGAAATGCATATGAGCAGAGGGGTCGAAGGGTTGGTGCATTTTCAGATGCAGCGACTTTAACGGTGAAACAATTTATGGCAGTTGTGTTTTTTCACAAAAAATAGAAGAAGCAGATGGCAAGCAAAAAAAAAAAGTAGCGTTTTCCTGGAGACTTACTTCATCAAACGTTTGCGTAGTTCTTTCATTTGGTCATTCTTGCGCTGTAACATCTGCTTGAGGTTTTTGAACGGTGTGGTCTGGCTCACCTTTTTCTCCAGTTCCTGCAAAGTTCAAGAAAAACGCATATCAAATAACAATAATAGCTTTTTTGTTTGCAGTTTGTCTCATAGCAACAGTACCAGTTCATAGTCCTCGAGGACATATAATACATCATTTTGAACACAAGTCCCTCACTGCATGGTTTTGGGGATCTTTTCTATTTTACTAGACTGGATCCACAGTCAACAGATCCGAACAAAAAGAGCTGGATAGAATAATAATAATAACAATAATAATAATAATAATGATAATAATAATAATAATTTAATAATAATAATAATAATAATAATAATTGTATTTACTAAGTGCATATCCACTTTCAACAGTGTACTTTACAACTTTACAATGTAGGGCTCGCTGACAGGATTCTAACTCATGACCATTTGAGAGCCTAACCAACAGGCCACCGGCCCCTATGACTACAAAGTGGATATATTTTTTCAAAGGCATCCATCCTAAACCATGGAAGTCAAGGCATATATGTGCGGCACCTCACCAATAGCATAGTTTGTGAAAATGAACCATTTCATTCAAATTCCATCAAATGGTATCGTAGGAGTTAAAGACTCCTTCCAAAACAGAAGAGTTATCTGAAAGTCTCGTCCTCATGTTTTAGTAAGAGTTTTACGGAGCTCGCAACTGCATAAGGTCATATGAGCGCCCTCTTGGGCTCAGTATTCACCACATGTCCAACATAACAGTAGGAAGTGAGAGTTTGTTGGAGAAAAGAGAAGTACATCAACACTGAGAAACAGACATCGCATTAAGGAAATATCGGGACTCACTGACTGAACACTGAAAAGAAAGGTTCACGTCAAAGAGCATATTTTGCGTTTTGTTTTCTTATAATCACCCAACTCCAGTTTGCCATTCACTTATCTTACCATAGCTTTTAATAAAATTAATAATAAATCTCAGTGAAAGACTTTCTAAGACAGATTCATAATTTTCATACTTTGTTCTAGCTTTGTACGACATATAGGCCTACTAGCTTTACAGTCAATAGGACCAGAGACTATGGAATGATGATTAGGTAAAAGACCCAACTTCCATTCCCCACCATGGAGGTCTGTTTTATCGAGTAGCTTTGTCTTCCTGCGGGGAGGCTGTTTTCTACAAACCCTGTTTGGCCTTGAAGGTCAAAGCAGCCAGCTTCCTAAATCAAATAAGTTTCATTAATGGTCACATACAACATTAACAATCATGGGTTCCAGTCTAATAGCAATTTCAGGATACTTACACTAATGAGAGCTGTCTTTCCTTTGTTTGACTCCTTTAATCAAAGAGAAGCCAAGATCGATAACAACATAATCAAAGAGAATGCGTACTAGAATAATGGTTCACCAAAAAACATCATGTACATAAAAAAGGCAAAAAGATGAAAAGGAAGAAAAGAAGAAAATGAACAACATATTCAAACCTTCTCCGCCATCTCCAACATCTCTCGTATCCTGAGCAGTTCGTGTTTCGTGTTGGCCATTTCTTTCTCAGCCTGCTCTGAGGACACCTGGCCCTTCTTACGTTCCTTTGGACAAATAAGGAAGAATACAAATTAAAGTAAGAAGTTTATGAAATGTTGAGAGTCAATTATAATTGGCATTTCTAACATCTATTGAAAAAAATGAGACATCATCTAGTAAGTTTTGAGAGCGTTTTAAAAGAACACTATCAATGTTTGTGCTAAATGGGATGGCACAGTTAGTATCATGCTGAGTTTCAGATTGAATGATTTTGGTTCAACTCCCCAAGTACGTGTTATTATTTGCAGTCGATGCATAATTCTTAAAGAAAAGTCATTGCCAGCACTCTGTCTTCAAAGGGAACAGTTACAATGTAAAAAAAAAAGGGGGCACGAAGAAGAAGAAAAAGTAGAAGAAGAAGAAGAAAAAGAAGAAGAAGAAGAAGAAGAAGAAGAAGAAGGAGAAGGAGAAGAAGAAGAAGAAGAAGAAGAAGAAGAAGAAGAAGAAGAAGAAGAAGAAGAATTGTTTAAAAAGCAGAGTAAGTAAGAAGAGTCTTGATTGATTTTTAGACAGCAAATATAAAATACATTTTTTAAAAATTATGTTGAACAAATCGGCTTAATATTTCGCATAATAATAGTAATAATGATAATAATAATGAAAGAACCGAATGCCGCACCTGGTCAATTTGTGTCTGCAGCTCTGACATCCTGCGGGTCATCTCCTCCACTTCCTGTTGTGAAGCGTTCGGCTAAGAACGTACCAGGGAAAGGGAGGGACAGTAAATTATTAATGCAAGTCTAATAGATTGTTTTGATAGAACAGTTCTAGAAGTTAATGGTAATAAAAGGAAAAAAAAAGGAAGAAAGAAAGAAGGAAAAGGAAAGAGAAAGAAAAAAGAAGAAAGAGAGATAGAAAGAAAAAAAGAAAGAAAAAAGAATGAAAGAAAAAGAAAGAAAGAAAGAAAGAAAACTGTCAATAATTTCTTCTTCACTATACGTTTTCTTTATCTCATTCAGCACATCATAATCTGAGTAAGATTGCTCATTGTTCAAAATATTGAAATCAACTGACCTATATATATTCAAATGATGATTTAAACAATTTGAACAGACTATCACGTTGTGTCAGATCTAAGCCAATCTAATTGTACTGTTTTCAACCTTCTGTCGCTTCACCCTATCATTCTGGCAGGAACTACTTTGTATGACCACCGGCTCTTACTAAACACTATCATGATAAGACAAGATAAAATATGATAAGATCAATCTTTAATGTCCAGTTGCTGGCACATTGGTTGGGTGTTTCACTCTCACCGACACAAACACACACACGCATGTGCGTGCACACGCACACACACACACTTACACACGTATACACTCACACACTTCCACACATACACTTACACACATACAAACACATACACACACATACAGACTCACTCGTACACACAAACGCTCACACACACACACACACATACACTCATACACATACACATACTCACACCACTCTGATAGACATATACACTCACACACACACACACACACACACACATACACACACACACACATACACATACTCACACCACTCTCACAGACACACACTCACACATACATACACATACACTCACACACACACACATACTCACACCACTCTCACAGACACACACTCACACACATACACACTCACACACATATACACTCACACACACACTCACAAACACACACTTACACACACACACACACATACTAATCAGTGTACCCAATCTGTTCACTCAAGAACCACTCACCCGTGTGCCCTTTGCTCTCAGTTCATCCTGCATGCGCTCAAGGTCAGAGGTCAGCGACTTGGTTCTCTGGTAATTGCTGGCGAACTGGGGAGACAATTCAGCTCAGTCTGAGTAAGAGTTTTACAGCACTTGCCACACATTTAGGTAGGATCCTAAATGTGCCAAAGATGAAAGATGTGAGCAGAGAGTAAAACACAGAGAATAGAAAGAGGAGACATAAAAATGGTAGATAGTTGATAGGAAAGAAGGAGCAACCACATCAGAGCACCTGCTAACCACCCACTGAGGAGAAAGATGAGGCACACTAATTCAGATTATATATATATATATATATATATATATACACATATATTACAGAAAAACGAAGTCTACAAAGAAATCAAAAGTTAAGTGTGGTTTTTCTAGTCCGTACACAATTTCTATAGTGAATCCATTTATTGTGGACATAACAATGTGAAAAAGTGGCACTTTATTTCTGTTTATGATCAAAGGAGTCAAGTTTTCACAAATAATAATAGTAACCCTCCTAGTATTGACGCCTGCTTGGTTTTTTTTAAAATTGTCAAACATTTCAAATCGTTCACAAAAGAGTTCCCCTTCCTTTTTACATTCTATTTTCTGAAAATGATTACGTTTATGGTCTTTACTAGCTTGGTTTGCCTGTTCCAACATAATTTCTCTGTCATCGATGATTGAAAGGTTAATGAAACTAGTTGTAATAATTAGAATAATAATAGAAATAATAACTATAATAATCCCTGAGTAAAACTGCATGTAAATCTCCAAATTGTGTTTGCAAACAAAAGAGACAATCAATGGACACAACTAAGGTAGGGATAAATAGATTTTAAAAATATTGAGAATAACAACTGTGCAACTGTCCTTTATTAAAAATAAAAAGGAGAAAAACGGAAAATACGGCAGCCCTCGTATCACTGCACATAAAATTTGTGACCAAATACTAAATGTGCAACGCTTACCTCCTTGTCAAACTTGGACAGTCTCTGAAGCAACATTTCATTCTCTGACTGAAGTTCATCGATTTTCTGTCGAACAACAATCATTTCAACACATCAGCTATTCATTTAGACATGCTTGCTTTAATCCCAGATCCCCTGAGTTTAAAAGGTCCTATGCTCCCGAGCTCCATATTGGGTCTACTGAAAGATTTGAACCTTTACATGCTGAGGTGTCTTTCAATACGCAGACCAGTGAAGGTTAAGTGCCCTCAGTCATGCTCTCTAGTCAATCTTTGTGATTTCAATTACAAAAAGTCTGTACCCTGGCCAGGTTTTACTGCTACAGTCGAACCGGCTGTAATGGCCACCTGTCCAAACGACCACTTTCCCCCTCCCCCTCCCCCTCCCCAACGCCTTTCTTAATGACATAATGACATATTCCAAGACATCCAACCGTCTATGACAACTACTTTTCTACACAGTACACAGATAAAGTACATGACAAAGGACAGCCATCTTGGACATTTTAGACAGTATCCCCATACCCCCCCCCCCCCCCCCGACTTTCTAAATTTTGCTGCCAACTTCAATCTAGTCTCGGTATATCATGCAGACTGCTGTAGAAAAAAAAAACATTTGGGATGTTTCATGTTCACCTTTTCCCAGAATCCACCTTCGGGAACTCTACTTGACCCTCTTCAAGAGAAAATGACATTTAAAGCAGCTAAAAGTAGGAAAATGACCATCAACCAAACTTCAAGAAGAAAAAAATACTCTCAGTAGAAGTAAACATAGATTTGTACATCAATTTCCTACACTGGATCACAACTCCTAGGCCTTCATCAAACAAAGCTGAAAATGTTTTTATTAGTCAGTGACATTTGATAGATTTTAAAAAAAAACAAAAAAACTCACCATATTTAGCAAAGTTGTTAAACCGGTATCATTGATAGGCATTAATTTTTTGGGAACAAAGTCTTTGTCTCTCTTGGCTCCAGAAAATTCTCTTTCTTCAAATTCCTTGATCTGTTCTAGCAATTCCCTGGAATAAAAAGAAAAGCATTTTTTAAAAAGACCAGATCAAAGAACCAAAAAAAAAATACAAAGCAATGTTAGATTTTTAAATTTCAGTTGAATTTGAGCTGTACCAAAAATAGGTACTTTGACAGCTATGAAATGTGACGTAGACAAGATTATAAATGACAAAAACCTGAAGACAAGGTGCTTTTATAGGTAACAGTACAGCAATGCATTAAACAAATGGAAGGGTACTTTATGAAATAGAAATATATCAATTGATTACAGTTATATTAAGCACATACAAACACAGATAAACTCATGCAACAATGTCACTAACAATAACACAGATGAAAAAAGAAAACTACACATCAACAACACAGCAAACAGTAACACAAAAAATTCAAAAGCCTTATATACACACAAACTCTCATACAAAAGCACAGGAGTCAAGGAACAAGACACACACAAACACATGGAGTCACTTGCCCACCTCGCGGCCAGGCCCAAGGTGCGGCCAATTTACATAAAAGCACACTCACTGGCTTTATTCACTTGAAATTAGAATAGTAGTTTACTTTGGTAGGTTGAATTTTTCTCTTTCTTTCTTGTAAATATGAATATGTTTACACGTACTTTGGTATGGATATGTTTTACAATACTTGGTGTTGACTGTGGTAGGTAGCAAAAAAGTTGGTATTAAGGCAAACTGAAGAGAAATGGGGGTGGCCGCATGAAAGTCATGCTATTCTATATTTCGTGTTGGGCCAGATGCGGCCAGACTGGCAGCTCCAAGGAGAGTATGGTTTTTTTTGTTATGGCCTGCAGGCGGCCGATAGGTTAAACAGGTTAACATCAGAGCAATAGCCCTCTCCTATCAGTGGCCAACAATTTATTGACATTTTGATTGAAAAATAATCATCGCAAAAAGAGGAAGAAGAAAGAAAAATGAAAAGGAAAGCGGAAATTGAGAAAAGGTAGATCGAGAAAGCACAGAAACATGAAGAAAAGAAGCGTATGAAAGAAGAGAGAGGAGTCGAAAAAACGGAAGGAAGAGGAGTTGAAAAAACTTTGACAGACTTTGAAAAAACGAAGAAAAGAGGATTAAGATGGGGATGAGAAAAGCTTGTAAAGGAAAAGGGAAAGGAAAGCAAGAAGAGACTCAAATATTTCAAGTGACAGTTCAGTAGATGAAAGTGAAATGGTACTGGACGATCGGTCAGATGAAGATATTGATGCGGGTATGATAGATGACTTGTTGGAGGATACGTTTGAGTGTGAGAAGGAGTTGAGAGCACTGGAAGATGGAGAGCGGGTGGAGGAAGACAATGTTGAGAATGAAATGGTAGATCTGCCTTGATGTATGACACTGGAATTAAAAAGTCGAATCTTGATGCGCAGTGAGATTTTCAGATGTTGCTTGCTTTCCAGACTTTTGATAATCGATTGAATGCTGAACTTGCCTAGGCGGTTCTTGCTTTTACATCTGCCTCAGTTCCACCTTTACCATCGATGACACTTCCAAGGAAGGTAAAGGAGTCCACTTCTTCCAGGGGAGTGTCTTCCACTGTCACAGCAGGGCTTGACACTTTACCTAGCTTCACTACTTTTGACTTGTCTGGATGTATACGTAGACTGACACTCCTTGATAAGCTGTTGAGTTCCTTGGTCTTTTCTTGCATCTGAGCATGTGTGTGAGAGAGCAGTGCAAGGCCATCAGCAAAGTCCAAGTCGTGCTGCCAAGAGGGTCCACTGTCTTCCACTGCGTCTGTCTCTGGTGGCTTCTTTCATGACCTAGTCAATTGCCAGTATGAAGAAAAAAGGTGAGAGCAAGTATCCTTGTCGCACTCCTGTCTGTGTAATGCCGCATGAGTTTCCACAGAGTTTCCCTGTCCATGCTGTCAAACGCCTTTTCATAATCAATGAAGTTGACCATGAGTGGTGAATTCCATTCAAGAGATCGCTCAACTATGATGCCCAGAGTAGCGATCTACAAATATATACGAACACACATAAATAAATAAACATAAAAATACAAAAATACACAAACACGTCCACACATACAACACATACATACATAAACATGTACAAACACACACACACAATATAATAACACACCTATTTTCCAGTTCCGAGATATCAGCGGACAGCTTTAGATGCCACTTCTCAGCCTGCATGCACATTTGTCGCGTCATAAGTACATTGGTGTGTGCCGTGTGGATCAGCTCCGACTCAACCTCTGACCTCACCACAGCCAGAAGGCCGTCAAGCATGTCGACAACTTCATCCACGGTAAACGTGTCATCTGTCAACCTGAGACCAGAAATGGAATTATTGGAAGAGAAATGGACCATTGTCAATGTCCTCCATCAGTCTTCATTTTGGGTATTTCTTAGTTTAGTTTTTAGTAAGAGTTTTACGGCATTTGCAACAAAATAAGGTCATATAAGTGCCCAAGATTACAGGTGTTACAAGAGAGTAACAACACAAAAAAAGAAGGAGAGATCAGGATGATAGATGTTTGATAGAAAAGAAGGAGAAAACCACACGAGAGCACCCGCCAACCACCCACCGGAATTTCTTGCTATGGTAACAACTAGAGAAGACAGAACATCATAAAAATAAATAAGTTGATCAGAAGGGCATCAAAATAAATGGTTGAGACCTAAATAACTTTAATGCACTTAACCTTTGTAACACCCACTGCCATAGTAAACAACAAAGACAAATCTCTCCCTGTGAGATGAATAAAGATTGACATTGTCATTCTTGAACGCAGCAGAGTATGTTCAGAGGCACATGAAGCTGCTTAGGAAAACGCATACCAGAAATTTGCTGGTCGCCATAATGTTCTACACTCTGTCGCATCATCTTTTGTGTCTTTCAAGAAAGTTGGAAACAAATGTGTCACTATTATAACATGAGCATGATGATTAAAAGTAAGCAAAAGTTTCAAGTATGTTACTTGTACGATTAGACCTCCTCAACTCATTATATTAAACAAGAATTTTCAGCCTGAAACAGTTTTTGGTATGTCCAAGCTTAGAATTTATTTAACAAAAAAAATTTTTGTAGGTTAATATTTCTAGAGCGAAGATATCAGACACCTGGCGAAGCCTTGGATTTTTCCACCCCTCCTCAGTTAAACAACACACAGATCAAGATTTGAGGTCTTGTTGAAAGCCAGCAAACTATCCTTAGACTGCTTCACAAATCCACTTATAGCCTATCTTTCTACTCACAATGGCATTAAGAAATGAAAACAAAGAAAAGAAAGAAAACACAATCTTTACAACACTCATAAGGAGATTTGTTTCACAGTGACATTCAAAACAATCAGTGATACATCGAACTTAATTAAAATGATAGCTCAGCAAAGGCTGGTGGTCATCGCATTGAAGCTCCCTATTCTTAACCCAATGAACCCTGACCCCCTGAGCCCAAAATAACCCATCCCCTGGCTTCCTGCCTACATGGTAACACACTCCATGAGCCACGCGTTCCTTCTTTATTCAAACCAATTCCCTCTTCCCTGAGCTGCCTTGACCTGTACAATAGTTACCACGAACCTTCAAGTCCTTTTGATATCATGTTTCCCCTTCTTATCCATGTACGGGCTACCCTTCTATGGTAGACTCGCACACACTGATACATCGGTGCTTCGGGGCAGGGGAAACAACTCGCACACCAATATATTGGTGCTTTGGGGCAGGGGAAACAACTCGCACACCAATATATTGGTGCTTTGGGGCAGGGGAAACGACTCATACACCGATATATTGGTGCTTTGGGGCAGGGGAAACAACTCACACCGATACATCGGTGCTTTGGAGCAAGGGAAACGACTCACACACCGATATATTGGTGCTTCGGGGCAGGGGAAACAACTCACACACTGATATATTGGTGCTTTGGGCCATGGGAAACAACTCGCGCTTCGGGGCAGGGGTAAATAACTCACACACCGATATATTGGTGCTTTGGGGCATGGGAAACAACTCGCGCTTCGGGGCAGGGGTAAACAACTCACACACCGATATATCAGTGTCACAGGTTCATTAAGTTAAGCCACAGATGACATGTTCTGCTCAAGGGCACACCTCGGTGACTATCCATCTGTAAGCAGGGTCGTTAATATAGCTCAACATAAAATGCGAGCCTCAGCTCGTCAACTTCTTGATCACTGGAAAAAATCTATAGTGTTAACCTAATGCTACTATTGCAATTTTAAGTTCATAAAAATTGTTAACCTCTCTTAAGCAATGTCCCAGGACTCACCTGCTATCCTTTAATTCCTCAAAACAGACATCAACAGCTCGCAATCTCTGTCCTCTTTGGTAACGAGCAAATCGAATATAGTTGACTATTTGCAGCTGGTGATGCTCATTTACACCCAACTCAGCCTAAATAAAGAGAATAGGAAAATAATGATGCAATACTTTTAACACAATATGGGTGGAAAACACATTATCCACCTCATACACACTTTCACACACACAAAAATAAATTTAACCCCACGGGCGGTGCTACTGACTGAAGTGTCTTTAGGCCATTCCAAAAGGGGGGAAATTAACCATGTTCTTATGCACAGTAGAATTGTAATTGTAAATGGGCTGATTCATCAATGTCATGCTCATAACTGCCTGAACTTCCAAAAGGGAACTGTAGCTTTTTCTTTTCTAATCCTTACTATTGTCATTTTTCTTCTACTTCTTTATATGTTTGTCATACTCATGTGATCCGCTATTTCCAGGGTGCCTTGATAGTCAAAGCAGACTTTGCGCTGTTGAAGCTAGAGAGGTGAGCAGAGTAAGCCTGATTCCCTTTAAGGGCTTCTCTGTTGATATCCACCCCTTGGCGCTCATATGACCTTATGCAATTGCGAGCGTCGTAAAACCTCTACTAAAACAAATAAAAAAATAAATTTCACTTCTTAAGGTAATCAAAAACACACTGTGCAGACACACATAGACACATTTGTGAAAATGATCCCACTCCTCCCATTCATCCTATTTAGAGAGATGTTAAATTAAAATAAAACTGTTGTGTAACAAGAAAGACATTTCACCCATACAATATTATCATAATTTTATGTCAAATAATAGCATTCACACACTATTGATGTTAAAATAAATCAACGCATAATACCTCTCTTTCATATCTTTGTTTTTGTTTTTTTCATTCATGGTAAAACTACTCATTCCATCCAGTTCACTCTCTCTCTCTCTCTCTCCCTCCCTCCCTCCCTCCCGTTCTCCCTCCCTTTCTCTCTCTCTCTCTCTCTCTCTCTCTCTCTCTCTCTCTCTCTCTCTCTCTCCATCTCCCTCCCTCCCTCTCTCTCTCTCTTCCTCCCTCTCTCTTACTCCTGCTGATATCATTACCCATATGTTCTGTCTCGCCTTGTGCGAGTGCTATCTGATGTGTATATATATATATATATGTTTGTGTTTAACTCACAGGAGACGTTTAACGCAGCACTAGCGAGCACCAATATTTTCCCGAGAGGAGGTTCACGAAACTCCTGCAAGCACAAGTTTCGCATTTTTTCCTTGGCAAAGTAGTGTATACGCGCAAACGCAGTGTTATCCGTCTCTTACTGTGCAGTCGGCCTTTGCTTCGTTTCGGGCGAAGTTTCACCGGAATTGGCTAGAAACTTTTTGAGTTATCAACCCAGAAGGAAAGTTAGTCACACTGAGGCCCTATTTTCGTTTCTCTGACATGTCTGTTCTCATGTCAGTACGACGGCTGCACGTTCAGGTTTAGTAAGAGTTTTACGGCACTTGCCACACAATAATATCATATAAGTGCCGAAGATTAGGTGTCACAAGAGAGTAACAAACACAAAAAAGAAGGAGGAGAGATCACGACGAGAGTTGTTTAATAGGAAAGAAGGAGCGAACCACACCAGAGCACCCTCCAACCACCCACTTGGCAGCATGAAAAAGCAAACATTTTTCAAGTGTTTGACGACTTTGACAGTTCAGAAAATTCTGATTATGATATTTTAGACCATGGGGATCCTGATTTCAATGTAAATGAGCATCACAGCACTGATTTTGATACCGTGTTCTAGATCTAGACTAGGCTTTCAAATGCAAAATTCCGCTTTGTCTAGCCCTGTTTTTTCACACTGAAGTGGATTTAGATAGCAAATACATAGGATTACCTATATATCGATTACCTGTCTATTCATGAGTTTGGACTTTTTATTCATTTTGAAACACAAAACACAATAAAAGACACACTCAAGGTAAATTTTTTGGGGTGGGGGTTTGTTGGTGGTTTGTTTCTGTTTTTTGTGTCATATTGGGCATGTTTACATCTGTTATGTGTGTAAAAATGGTGGTTGTATGACTTTGGGACGGGTGTTGTTTGAAATGTTGAAATAACCCCAAAAATGCCAGTCTTCAGCGCAGTAGACCCGAAAAAGGCCCAGTCTCCAGTAAGTTAACACTTTCCTACAAAATGCACACCCGTGTGCACCAGCTTTCTTTACCATTCTCCGCGCAGCGCACACCACTGCGCGTCACGAGAACATTTGTTCAACACGGAACGTACAAACGGTGTGTTTCAACTTTCAAATTTTTTTTACAGAAGAAAAAGGGATTTGGTAAGGGATGTGACTCTAATGATATGATGGAAGGTATAAATGTTTATTTGGTTTCTTCCCTTTTACTTAAACTTAAAGACGATTTTGGTGATGTTTTTCTATCGAATGAAACGATAGATATTCCAGAATTGGTAGGCCAAAGCACGTCTCATGCCTGCAAATACTGCACTAGACATGATATTTCAAGAAGCATCTGAGGAAGAAGATGGATCATTACAGTGATAGTGAGTATGAGCTAGACGACGATATCTTCTTCATGACTGGAATGTAGTTAGATCTAGGTTTAACCTGCAGGAAGTCCTTGTAAAAAAAGTAACATTTTTAAGCTTTTTTGGGTCAATGTTCACAACCATTGCTGTCTTATTTCATATTATCACGGTCTCTTTTCCTTTTCATACAACATTCTACAGATCTTTAGCTTTACATATGCGTGGTTTTGTACTTCTTAACTTATTTGAACTTCGACTATTATTTTAGTTACGTATAGAAGGAATCCAATGAGCTGGGCTGGGGCTATGTAGGGAAAGTGCAAAGCATGTGCTGAAGAGACAGAAGAGAAAAATATGGGATCACAATTTGAAATAATACAGATATAATATGATTCACTGATTTAAAAAACTGAACATGCAAACTGATCTACAAAGGCAGTCATTTCGCCATACTGTCATCTCATCACACCCCAATTATGTGAGACGATAATACTTCATACATCTTTCCAAAATTGTTATGCTAGTTTAGTTTTGGAGGATCAGCCAGTCTAAAGCTTTTTTTGAAGGAAGTGCATATTTGCAGCGCCACTTTGCGATTAGCGCCAGTGCTAAATAAAACGCTGTGTCGCCGTGTGTAAAATATCAAGCTTAATCTGCACATCATTATCGGAAGTTCTGATGGCCGAAGTGACAGCGCGTCTGCGCTTGAAGTCAAAGAATCATTTTTTTAGCGACGTGAGTTCGATCCCGGTCCTGGACGGTCTTTTTTTCTTTTTTCTTTTTTTTGTTGTTGTTGTCCTCTTCTCGACTGACCAACAAATTGTTCCCATAATTATATCTTGTTGCTTTGTAGGTTTTTTTATGTAGTGATGAAGCATGCACATTCTGGTTTTGTCCCCAAGAGGAGCTCTGTACAAAGTAGGCCTTAGTATAGCCTATACTTTTCCTTTTACCAATTTAGGCCTGGTTAAAGTTCAGTAGTGACTTTCCTTGGTCTGTGAGTCTAATTTTTTAAATATTTTTATTTTAGGCTCAGGAGAAGGAAAAGAAAACCCTTTCGGGACCGGTATTCGATGCCACGCTTGGAAGCACTGAATATTAGACTTAGAGAACGTAGACAGTAGACAGCTTGTATACGTTCTCTAGGCCTAACTTTAAGTTCGAGTTGCACCGTCTTGTTATTGTATCCAAGCGTTTTTCGACTTAAACTTGCTCAAACTCTAACTCCGATGATTATGATTATGAGATGAACAAGACGTCTACTATTGTGCAAACAATGTCAGAAACAATTGTTAGATCCAATCTAGATCTAGATTTTTCTAGATCTAGATCTACCCAATATTGATCGGAATAAGACAACGTCATAAAAAAAGGAGTCAAATCCTCGCGGAGGTTTATCAAAAAGGCCATAAAAAAACTGAGAAAGCTTCCATAATTCAGGCAGAACTACAATATTATCACGTAGAAACGATGGCTACTACATCTAGATCTAGATTCTAGTACTGGCGTTTCAAATAGCACAGGAGCTATTCAGAATGCGGCGTTGCAAATAGCGCTTGCCTTTTTTGAAGTTAGGCTAGATCAATATAAATTATTAATGTAATCAAATCTTCGTCCAAACTGTTCCATAAGGCAGAAACAATGTCTGGTAAAGAGTTAATTAGGCTTTAGATTCTAGATCTATAGGTTTGAAAGTAATTAGAAGGGTCTATACTATATATCTAGATCTAGATTCTAGCTTTAACTTAAGCAAAATCGCAGTAGATCTTCTGTGCATTTGTATTAGCCAATTTATTTTTAACAGAACTCTAGAATAGATCTAGAACCTATATAATATGGTCTTGGGTATCATGGTATGGGTTAGGGTCGATGCAGTCTGATCTTTGGTCTTTTATCACCATGTTACTGTTATTTTGTAAGATTGTCTTATTTTATTTCTTAAATTTTTAAAGAGAAAAACATGCATTAGTCTAATGATTAGAGTAATTAGACTCACTGTCATTAGACTATAGATCTAGATCTAGTAGAGTCTAGATCTAGATTCTAGATCTAGATCTAGACTATTTTGAACAGAAAACTGCTTTGCTTAAAATACCATGTCAAGTTTAAGATATGCACGTTCACATACCATGATGGTTGCTCGTTTTGTACTCTCTCGTTATATCAACAAATTCGTCTCCAGAGGCCTCTGAGACCTGGCCTAAAAATTTAGTTTACGGATGCGATGTGGTTGGTGAGACCGAGGCTACTAGTACCGAGGTAAATGGGACTTGCCGGTTTCTTGAAAATATATTTCTTTTCATTTTAATCTTATGATATTGGAAATTACACTCATGGTAATAATACAATATTTTAATGTGCGTACATATTTATTGCAAGGCTGTTTGACAAATGTAGAAATGTTTGGTTTGCTTTCTTCTCAGAAATTGCTGTATTGCCTGGTTGTCATGCTGCCTTTTCCCTGCTTTCCCAACAATCTTTAGAACTGTGTTAATTATTAATCCAGAGGATATGAATCAATGCCCTCTGATCATATTAATTATGTACATTAGATCTAATAGTCGCACACTGTTGCCAAAAAGCTGTAGTGACAACGTTATCTTAGGCCTACAGCAATCTTGGTCAACAAAAATCTTGACAAGCGGTCAACATGTCATCCTCTCTGTCTCGACTGTCTCTCTCTCTCTCTCTCTCTCTCTCTCTCTC